TAGCTGGGTCAGCAGCTTCAGGTCTGCTGTGGTTTAAGGACCATGCTGTGCTCACTGTGGCCCATTCCCAGTGCTCCAGGCAAGGTACCATAAGCTCTGTGCCACAGAGCTCATTGATCCAGGAAGAGTTTCCCATCTTAAATTCTGCACTAGCTGATCCATCATCCGTCCCACCTGAAGAGCTGCCTCCATCTCTGGGGACCCCAGCACAAGAAAGACATGGACCTGTTGGAATGAGGAGGCCACAGAGATGCTGCCAGGGCTGGAGCCCCTCTGCTCTGAGCCAGGCTGGCAGAGCTGGGGCTGCTCCCCTGGACAAGAGAAGGCTCCAGGCAGAGCTCAGAGCCCCTGGCAGGGCCTGAAGGGGCTCCAGGAGAGCTGCAGAGGGACTGGGGACAAGGCCTGCAGGGACAGGAGCCAGGGAATGGCTGCCAGTGCCACAGGGCAGGGCTGGATGGGAGATTGGGCAGGAATTGTTCCCTGGCAGGGTGGGCAGGCCCTGGCTTGGGGTGCCCAGAGCAGCTGTGGCTGCCCCTGGATCCCTGGCAGTGCCCAAGGCCAGGCTGGGCAGGGCTGGGAGCAGCCTGGGCCAGTGGGAGGTGTCCCTGCCATGGCAGGGGTGGGATGAAATTGTCTCTAAGGTTCCTTCCTACTCAACTATCCTGGCATTCTGTTAGCATCTGTTTAGGTGTCTACATATGAATTTTTGACCTCAGTAGTGGTCTGGTGCTATTTTAGCCCTGTGAATAAGGTGAAGGTAGACAAAGCCTCTTGCCTGATGTTGAAGATGGGCAGTTCTTGCCAGTGTTGTCATTTCACCTGATCTCCACAGATCCATACGGGTCTTCCTTCTTAGCAAACATCTTGCTGTGAAATAATTAATAGCAGTGATTCCTGGAATTCTGGACGGAGATACAGAGTGTCACTGGGAAAAAAACTTCTCTTGGTCTGTTGCCAGAACCCTTAAACCTGTGGGATCTGGTTTGCTTTTGTGAGAAGGTGATTGTCATGGTCGGTGAAACATTTCTGCAAATAATGCCCATGAGAGCTTTTCAGTCCAGTCCTGGGAATGCTGGCCTGGCTGAGGGTGCCTGAGCAGTTGTTGGCACAGGTGGTGAAGTGTTGGCCTGTGTGGATTCGAGCACCTCCAGAATAAGTGGAAGATTTGGGCACAGCACATATGGTTTCCTCTGTTGCTCTGTGCACTCTTGGCATTTTAAATTTTGGGGCATCTTACCCAAGGAGGAACGTGGCTGCTGTCTTTTCAATCAAATGCTTCTGTAGCATTTATTTTTTTTTTTTTGAATTGTCATTTTAGGAAGTGCAATGCAGTGGAACCTAGTCTTAAAGCTTTAGTTTTTTGGGACATAAAAATGAAGGCCTGTGTTGGAAAGGTTACAGACTACCAGCCTCTTTTCAGTCAGCCTTCCCAAATGGAGCTGTTGGGCCTTCTTTCCATCATTGACCTGTCCACTGGGAATATAAATGCATTCAGTCTTTTGATTTATGTCATTGTGGATTGACAAACGTCGATTAACAAAGTTCTAAACTGCAAATGAGTGTATAGGCCTGGTTCTCAAATCTGGAATATTTACTGATAGAAATGGATTCTTATCTCTTTGGTAGAGAAAGATCAGAACATTCCCTCAGCATATTTCAGTGACAGCAGAATAAAAACTTGTTTTCCAGTGTAGCATTGCTTTTTCATCCATCTTGTCTTATAGCTCCTTTTGGTTTTGGAAATCTTTTTAGTATGCAGAGGTTACAATTCTTCAGGGGCTCTTTTTAACTTTGCTGGCATAGGAACTGTTCCCCTGTTGAGGAATACACCTTGTGCAGGTTGGCAGCAGCAGTGTGAGCTGCAGGTTGTTCTGGGAGGGGGTTCTTCAACTCTGACAGACTTGGGGCCATGACCGTTTCCATGGCGAGCCTCTTCCAGAGCCTTTTCCTAATATCCAACCTAAACCTCCCCTGACACATTGACAAGACCCTGGACTAAACATCATCATCAGGATGGGCACAGCCCAGGGGGCTTTGTCTGGGGTCCCTCCCCAGGGGCACCACTGTTCTGTGTCACTGCACCACAGAGGAACTGGAGTCTGGGACTGTGCTGAGGGAAACCTGGGGCTGAGCTGGTGAGAGGAGCTGGTCTGACTGGGGGACTGTGGGGTCACTGGAGCCACTGCTGCAAAGGGGCTGTGATCCCAGCACTGCCAGTCTGTGGGACCCCAGTGGGACCCCCAGAGTGGCATCAGACTGGTGGAATGGGGGAGATTCCTTAACACCTCACCGGCAGAGGAAGTGGTGCCCACGACCTTCCAGGCTGGCTGAGCAGTGTTAGTCCTGCAGCAGATTGTGTAAGTGCTCAGCAAGAGATTAGGAAGAAAGAATCACCTTCTCTCTCAGTGCTCTGCTCCTCTAGCTCTTCACTGTGCCTTTATTGCTCCTGCTTGGTTCCTGGTATGCCATGGAAACCTTTGCCAGGCCTGTATGCAAGGGCTTCCTATGTTTGCTTTTTAAAAGCCTGAAGAAAAGCAGGTGGAAACTTCCTTCCCACCTTCTAATGGCTCTGAATCAGCACTGCCGCAGGCATTGCTGGAGTATCCCGGGAGGTGCAGACTGTGAGTGTTGCAGACACAGGTTAGAGGATGTGGTCAGTGATGGAATGCCACTAGCCACTTGCCAAACACTTGGCAATTCTGCTTTATGTCAGATATAAGTGTGGTAACTTGCCATTGTGGTGTGCTGGGAAGGTTTCTCTGCTTTGTGTCTGACTTTAGTGCCTCCTTTTCAGGCAGCAGATACACCCTGGAGAATTAAAAAAAAACCCAAAACCCCAATCTTTTAAGTATATGTTCTTAATCATTAGAATTTACAGCAATTTCTTAATCTCAGCAGCGGGAAGGATTTATATAATAAGTAAATGGTAATAAAGGTCAAAGTTGGAAGGAAGTTAAGGAAATTTTAACCTTTTCCTCTTACAGGTGGAAAAATCTCAACATTTCTTCCTTTGCTTACTAAATATTCTAGTTGTGCCATACAACTTGCACTCATCAACATCTTGGTGTGTTCTGTTTTTAGGGCTTGGATTTTGTGGAGCACAAAGGCAAGCAAAGTTGCCTTCTATTCAGATAATTCTGAAAATGTGTGTTACGTGGTTTTATAACTTAGACATGGTGACCACAGACGGTTCAGCTGTTTGAGTGTTGTTTACCAGAACAGGAAACTTCTCTGAGATTGTGCTCAGCAAGTTCTGACAGAGCCAGGAGGGAACGTGTATTTAATGACAGAATTTGTAGTACAGCTGAGATGATCTGGCAGCTTAAAAATTGTCTGCTGAGGGGAGTTTCTTCCCCTGTTTCCAGCTTTGCAGTGCCTCCCCCTGCTTTCCTATCCCGTGGCATTAACTGGTGCTTATCTTGCTGCAAGGAAAGCAGATTAAAACTGCTGACACAACAAAAAGGGCTTCCCTCCTGTGTGGTTTTCCATTGCTTTCACAGTACAGATTGGTTATCCCATGGGCAGAGAGTTCTGGAATAGGCTCATGTTGACACTTGAACTTTGCAGTGCCTCCCCCTGCTTTCCTATCCTGTGGCATTAACTGGTGCTTATCTTGCTGCAAGGAAAGCAGATTAAAACTGCTGACACAACAAAAAGGGCTTCCCTCCTGTGTGGTTTTCCATTGCTTTCACAGTACAGATTGGTTATCCCATGGGCAGAGAGTGCTGGAATAGGCTCATGTTGACACAAAAATGGGGGTAGAACCTGATCTGTGGGTGAAGGGGAACAAGAGCTGCCAACTCTTAATGCTTCAAGAAGTACTGAAAAGATAAAGATTCAGTTCAAATCCATACTGTGTTAAATCTCAAATTAGCCCAAGTCTTCTCATGGTTTATTCTATAATCATGTGCTCAGGTATTTGTTTAAAAATTTGACCTTCACTGTCAGACATGAATGAACAGCAGCTGCTGGTGAGGGGCCCGGAGTCCCTTCATGCAGGGAGCATTCCCTTTCTAGACTGAGGATTTCTAGTTGCTGTTTCTGACTTCTTCCATTATTCAACTTCAGGCTGTCAGTCATGGTGCAGTCCCTGGAAAGGCTTATCCTTTAGCAAATCCAGATCTGTAGATCCTGTTGCAGAAACAGGATTTAGATATGCTGATTTTGACTATTTCACAGTAGTTGAAGTGCTTTAAAAACTAGGGTTCTGGCAAGCCATGAGCAGCTTGAGTCTGGTGTGAGTTTTAGTCGTAGGTCAACTAAAACATCAGGATGATGGTGGACTGAGGCAGAGAGTATCTTCCTGTGATAGGAATTCTGTATGTTTTTCCAAGGCTTTCTTTAAAAAGCTGCAAAAATAGAAACTCTGTCAAATACTCAGTATGCCCCCAAGTCAGCATGCAGCACAGACTCACCAGTTTCATGCACTCGGTAAAGCAGCACCGAAGGCAGCATTAAACAGTAACAGGCCTTGAGTTGCAGGATGGACAACGTTTACAGGGAAAAACATTCAGAAAATTAATAGTCTCCAGTTGAAACACTGAACTAGGTCACATCTTGCTGCTTCTTGTCTTCCTGTCTGAAAAAGTTCTGGGCATAAGGTTGGATTTCAGGTTGAGGTGGCATTTTGGTTGTGGCTGGTCAAGCACCTGAACATGGGGGACCCGATTTTTACCTTGGCTGTTGGGAATACTTTGGTGTTTACAGGAATGTCTTCAAAATCTATCTTTGATGCTTTTTATTAATGTAAAAAATTAGAAATCCTGCAGAGCTCATTAACAGTACATAGTTCTGTAAAATGTCGTGTTGGTGCTTTTGAAAGAATGAATTGTTCTGGAATTTTCAACAAATAGTGTTTTGTTTTCTGAGTTGAAAAAATGCATTGCTGAAGCAGTGGCTTGTTCTTAGTTTTTAAAATAAACATTCAAACTTATTTCAGGTGTAGGAAGTTTGTTTTATGGAAATGTGCAGATTTAACCTCACTGAGGATTTTTTCACTTTGCAGATATATTGTAAAATGTCCAATGGTTATGAAGATCACATGGCTGAAGATTGCAGGGATGATATTGGTAGGACAAATTTAATTGTGAACTACCTTCCTCAGAACATGACACAGGATGAACTACGGAGTCTGTTCAGCAGCATCGGCGAAGTGGAATCTGCAAAACTTATTCGGGACAAAGTTGCAGGTATGATGTAGTGTTTCAGGAATTGTCACCTTGTGCTAGACTGCGTGAGCAAATACTTGATTAAATACAACTTAATCTACAAATACTAAATATTTCTCTGTGTAATCAAACTATTGACAAGTTTGCCTGGAGCTGCAGTAATGCCTGGATTGGGTATTGGGAGGATGGAATGCTCAAGGTTAAGTTAATGACTATTGTGTGTATGGGTAAGAATTCTAAGAACTACAGTTCCCATATTTGAACATTAATAGACAGGTCTAAAACTGGTTTAGATTTAGTCCCTGGCTGATTTATTCTTCCTACAGTCTGAGTGTTTTTGACTCCACTAGAGCTCTGAGTATACAAACAAACCTTTTGTTCTGATTTTGATCAGTAAAATAAAGGTGTGCTGGAGTTCTGAAGTGGCTGTAGGTCTTATCACTGTTGTGGAATTTAACTTGTAAGTTCCTTAAATAGGATTGGTAGTAGTAGCTTTAAAATGTGAGAGAAATGAATTGTTCTGACTTGTGAAACTTAATGTTTCCTTGAAGCAAAACAAATGCTGACAGAGCAACTGCTTCCATATCTGTTTAGTTGCAGGAGGTTTTAGCTGCTCTCTGAAGAGGTTTTAATCCTAGCACTGTTAAAATACTTCATTTACAAGTTTTGGTTATTCTTGTTCAGAATTTGAAGAATTTTGGATTCAGTAAGAGCACTTGATTGTTTCTGGAGGAGAAAAAAATAAAGTGCTGTTAACTAGCTGTGCACTGGTGTTTGTTCCCAGCCTGCACTGGCTGCTTGTGGAATTCTCTGCTGCACATGCTCAGTGTTGTATTTCAGAATCCAGCGATACTGATCGTTATCTAATCCCTAAGGGAGACTGCTCCCCAGTCTGTAAAAGCTGCATGGGAGCTGCTGGAATGCATGAGAGCACTTTGTGCGTCATCTTTAGTGCTTTATTTGCTTGAGAATACCCATGAGAACTGAATAATTAAAAACTTCAGAATTTCTCTTCCGAGTAGCCTCTCTGATTTCCATGTCTCTGGCTTTCCTGACATCTTACAGATGAAGTATCTCGTGATGTCTGTATGTCTACTTAAGGGATGTATATGTTCAGTCATGGTAAAATAGTTATATAAATAGTGATTTCTTTGAATGTTTTGGTAAGTGAGTGTTTGTCACAGATGTTGTCATGTGCTATGCAGCACTCAGAAGTTGAGGCTTACTCTGAAGGCTGGTTTTGCAAGGAGTAAGACCCCTCGCTTAATGATAGCAGGTCATAGCTGACCCACACCTTAGACTGTAAAATAAGCACAGAATGACCTGCATGGGAGGGAAGGTTATTTTCAGTGGGAAGCAAGAGACTTAATCAGTCTCTAAAGTTGAGACCCTGCTTCATGGGTACCTGTAGCATCAAACGCTCTGGTAAGGTCTGGTTAACTTTAACTTGGAGTTTGACAGTGCTGGATAGTTTAAAGTCCAAAACATACACTTGTGTGCGCAAGGTTGTTCTTAACCTCAAGAATGAAAAGTAAAAATGCTGTTATTGTTGCAGAGAGCCCTTGAGTGCCTGTGGACAGAGCACTGGTTTTTCCCTAAGTGGTTGCAGGTGCTAGATTCTGCGTGGCTGCTGTGGTTACACCACTGAATTTTGTTGCTACCTAATTTTTCACTTGCTTGCAGCACTATTAGGAGCAGTTACCAGTCATCTCCGTGCTTACTGATAGTTCTGGAATATCAGTGCCAAAGAACTGGCCCTACTGAGGATTTTTTCTTCCTCTTGCTTTTGTTTCTGCCCCTTGATGTTCACATTATATTCTTTATTCTCAGACTCTCTGTTAAACATGTGGATGTGCAGCAGTTCCTGAACAGAAAAATCCTGTGGCTCAGTTCTGCTTTTCTTGTGCCTCCACTTGCATTTCTTTGACCCTGTGGCAGACAGCAGGAAACTGGAGCTGCAGAAAAACCTGTTCAGCTCCCTGACCTTGGTTTCTGGTCAGATAAGTCATAATATTGGCATGTGAGATAGAGCGGGTTGAGTGGCCTGGGCAGGAGGGAGGGAACTTTCTGCTTTTGTTTGAGTTAGACTTTTTGGATCCGTTTAGTTCTTTTCAATGAAGTCACAGCTTCTGGTACCCCCATAAAGTTTTAAAAATCAAAGTATTTTGTCTTTGAGGTGCCCTTTATTGTTTGTGTTTGCAGAGTTAAAATCAACGTTTATTTGATAATACTTTTTGTAAAACATTGAATGATACATACATTTCTTCTCAATTTATTGTCTGTTAATGAAATGTGAGGCAAAAAATACTTCTGCTTGGAATGCAGTTTTTCATGACTTATTGAACTGGCATAAGCTGTCTGGAGATTGATTACTGGGATTCAAGAACTGATTTGAAAGCCAAAGTTTGGGTTTGTTTCAGCAAATTATTTTATTATGATTATTACATATGTTGTTGCATTTTGCTTCAAATGATCTGTGTTCCATGTGTTAGCCGTGGTTATAAAAAGCAGAGAAACTCCTTGAAGCCTCCACACTGCTTATCCTTTATCTCACTACTGATGAGCATTACAGGAAGGTGAAAGTAGCAGCAAACCATAGTGTCACTTCACATTCCTTACCAGGAGCTTTTGGGTTTGTGTACATATGGGTTATAACCATTGGTAAAGGTGTGATTGTGTGTCTGGTCACACAGTTTGTTGTTTGAGATGTGACGGCTCCTTTTTCTGGTTTTTTGTACCTTTTTTTTTCAGTACCTGTACAGAGAAACTTGTGCACAGGAGATGAGCGATAGAAGGATGCAGGGCTCCTCCTGATCATACTGGAGGAATAGAGTGCTGGGCTGTGCATTCCCCAGTTGGTGTAGTGCATTCCTCAGCACTTCCAGACATGGCTTTGCTTGGCCTGTGATGAGTGAATCAGTACTGGGGGTCAGCAGGCAAATACTGGATTGTTGCTATGCTGCTCACTGTATTTGTGTTTATGTGAGTATGTCTTGGACAGCCAGGATTTTCATAAGAGAATTACAGCATTCATTGGACGCTGTTCTTTCTGTCAGATCTTAATTGAGCACCAGCCATGCCTTGGGGCTTTGAGCCCTAGGGAAATGTTAGAAGGCTGAGTCCTACTTCACAATAGAGTATGGCACAGTGTCCAGCCTGCAGTGTAGCTTTTCACTGGTGCCTCTCCTGGCCTGTCATGATGATTGCTGAGGTCTGTGAGTAGCCATTGACCTGATTCCATCAATTAAATCCTCTCTTCCTGGGGCTCTGGCTCATGAGGCTGAGAGCAAGAAGTCTGGGGTTGGTCCAGTAGCCCTGCAGCATTGCCTGCAGACACAGCAGGGCCAGACCTGTACTCTGCACTGATTCCCTCTCCAGGGATGTGTATGATGTTAAATGTCCACTTTCTTGGAGCAGCTGCCTCGTGCTGGAGATGATCCAGCAGAAGAAATCTGTCTCATGCTGTATTTTGCATGGTCAGTGCCTGACTTTGCTGCAACATCCAGGTTCTGTTCCCAGCCAGTGTGCTGGGCTGGATATCTCTAACAGGTGAGTTTTTAAAAAACATTTCTCCTTCAGTACCTGTTAATGCAGGAATGCAGGCCTCTGGGGCGCTCTGAGGTTGCTCAGTTTCTTGCAGCACAGATGCTGATGGCTTGTTGTGTCAGGATGTCAGACTTTGCACAGCACAGGTGCTTCTGCTCAATAGCTCTAAATTTTCCAAGAGACCCTGGTCATCTTTAGCCTGCTGTCCATGCAGTTGTGCACAGGCTGTTAGTCCTTCTGGACCAAATGCTGAAGCTGAAAGTTAATTTCATGTGTGTTTTAGTCATGTGTGTTTTAGTTTCTCTGTCTTCCCCTTACTCTGCTGAAGTATTGGTACTTTTAATCCTGACTGTCCTAAAGCTCTGAAAAGGTAGAGTTAAACTGCTTTTTTTTTTGTGGAATTATTAAAAACAAAAAGCTGCCAAACTCATGTCACTAATATGGTAGTATTAAAAAGAATATTCCCTATTGGAATAATTGTGTGAGCTGTGGGGTGCTCCCACCTGTGATACTGTGCAGATACAGTATGTAAATGTCCTCAAAGTGCAAGGGAGAAGAATTCATCAAAACTACCACAAAGCTGTGTGGAGGAGTTTAAACTGGATATTAGGAAGAGTTTCTCCCCCCTGAGGGTGCTGGCACTGCCCAGGCTCCCAGGGAATGGTCCCAGCCTCAAGGCTGCCAGAGCTCCAGGAGTATTTGGGCACTGCTCCTAGGGATGCTCAGGGTGGGTGTTGGGGTGGCTGTGCAGGGACAGGGGCTGGAAGGGCCCCACAAGGACCATCAATCCAACTGAGAATATTCTAGGGTTCTATTCTAGGATTCTATGAACCTTTTTCCCTATGTGTTTATGGTCTCAGACTTCTGTGGGGTCTATTTATTGCTCCTGACACCATATCCCCTCTTGGAGTCCCTGGTGACAGGTTGCTGTGCACACCTCATTCTGTGAGAGTTCCTTCTGACAGTGATTGATTTTGGAAAGGAGGCATCCAACTTCCTGAGGGTTCCTGTTCCTTCCCTCACACCTTCTGTACTGCCTGGGCAGGGAGTGTTTTCCCTCTGGTACTCATGACTGTGTGTTCTAGGAAGTGTAGGATATGATCCTTCACACTGTTCCAAAGGCTCTGCTGTACCTGCCAGCCCCCAGACATGCCCCCCTCTGTGCAGGGGCTGGAGGGAGACGTGGGCTTCCTCTGCACTCTGCATTTGCTGTGTCAGTGTAGTTCTGATGGAGGTCACTTAGGTGATCAGCAGCTCTCGGGGCAAAGGGATCTCTCCATTTCTGCTGGGAAGTGTGGAGCAGAAAGGATATTTTGGGCTGATTGGTTAAGGCTTTATGCAGGAATTTGGGGTCCATCTCAAACATTGCTGTCATGATGGCTCACTCTCTGCAGGTGTGCCTGGGACATGTTGCTTACAGGACCAAAAGAAGTCACTTTCAGATAGTTGCAATTCCTCAGGAATGGACTTTAAGC